TATATATAAATATATATATAAATATATATATAAATATATATATATAAATATATATATATGGATATTTGCCTGTATACATATCCATACATATATAAAAAGGTAGCTTGCATTTTAAAACAGAAGAATGAAAATAAAGGGGAATTTCCTACTCTAAAACTTGTCTAGCATTTTTCATTTTGCTATTTTTTATTAGTTTTATTGAGAAGTCAACTAAATCACTAGATATTTAATGACTTTGCTTTTTCTGGCGTCTCTGTCTGCTTTAACATGGTTAACATTTAATTTTCAGATATATGGTACTGTATTTAGTTCATACTAACAGGAGGATTTATTTAAATCATAAATACTGATAAGTGAATTCTAAGATATTTGGCTTAAATAAGGGAAATATGAAAGCAATACATGGTTGTTAAATAAGTTCAATGTATGTTCTACATTTTATGTATTTTTCTATATATAAATTCCCTTATTTCTTGTCTTTGTTCAAGCAAATTTTATTATCTATTTTAATTGATAAATAAAAATTGTATACATTGCAACATGATGTTTTGATATATGTATACATTGTGGAATAACTAAATTAAAATAATTAACATATGCATTATTTCACATACTTATCTTTTTTTGTGGTAAGAACACTTAAAATCTATTTTCTTAATTATAGAAAATATTGGTTCTTCCTAAGTCCCACAATAGAATGATGAAGTAATAGTTGTATTATGGGTATTATTTTATAACAGATAATATTCAATTTTAATTGAATAAATTATGTTGCCTAAAACATATTAATGTAAATACTATAATTGGCATGGACTTATAAAGCATATAATATTAAAGTTGAGCAGAGAAGGTTTTAATTAACAAGTGAGAAGTTGATAACTCAAAAAGAGAAGGAAATGTAATTTAAAAATTAGTTCTGGAAAAGGATAAGAAGGGACTTAGTAAAGATGGAAATAGGACCGAGTGCAGTGGCTCACTCCTATAATCCCAGTACTTTGGGAGGCCGAGGTGAGACGATTGCCTAAGCCCATGAGTTCGAGACCAGCCTGGGCAACTTGGTGAGACTTCATCTCTGCAACAACAAAAAAAAGCTGAGCGTGGTGGCATGTGCCTGTGGTTCCAGCTATTTTGAAGGCTGAGGCGGAAGGATCGCCTGAGCCTAGCAAGTCGAGGCTGTGATAGTCATAAGTGTACCACTGCACTCTAGCCTGGGTGACAGAGTGAGACTCCAACTCAAAAAAAAAGAAGGATGAAAATAAAAACATTAGCATTAATTATGACCTTTTAAAAAAAGAACAGTTGGCCATTCAAGTAGACTCATATCCCTGTGTCATCCTTCATACCATAATCCATGAACAAGAACGCTTGGTAGGAAAGACAGAGAAACAGAACAAATGAAAAATAATAACTATCAAGAAAAGATACCTAAAACATGTACAATATTGCTTTGGATAGAGAATAAAGGGTGTAGTGGAATTTTTTAAAAATCCAATCTGGAAGTTTCATAAAAGCCTAAAATCTTCACTTTATTGAATTTATTAAGAAGAACCAAAATTAACTGATCTAATACAATAATATTTTCTGTTTAAAGCAGGATTGATATGTTCTAATAAAATATTTCATGATAGTATGCTTTTGCCCAGCTGCTCCATTCTTCTAAGTTAAATGAATGTATTGTTAAGTTAAGTGAATGTATTATTGCTTCAGTGTTTTGTGTTTGGGTCACAGACATAGGACTGAGAGAAACCAGTGAAACAGATAAGTGATATATTAACCCAAAGTAGTTCATGAATATATAGTCAAGGAAGCAGGGGCAAATAATGGTCAAGGACGGAAGTCAGGGATGAGTGCCTTCGTGCTAAAAGTCAGTTCCAGTGGGAGAGGCAAGAGCATAAGCAAACAAGTCTCTGGGATGCGTAGGCACAGGTAAGGGAGATCCATGAAGGATGGACAATAACAAGTGTCTTGTACCAGAAACTGTTTCATGGCACGAGGACAGTCTACTAGGTTAAGCCACTACACAGTACTAGGCAATTAGAAATCTATTCACCATAGCTATGTGCACAAGGGACTTTCTAAGACTTTTGGATCTAAGACTACTCATGGCTAGCATATATTATTTGCGTTTCATTGGAATGATGACTAATCTGACTTGGCTGTGTTGTAGATCACTGTTTTGCATTGTTTATATACAGCTTATCTAGAAGGTAGCTGATATTTTTATGTAAGTACCTGGAGGCCTTCTCAGTATATGGTTCTCACACCATGCAACCTCTTTATATTTCAGCCTGGACAATTTTAGACGGTACAGTCTTGCTACGTGGTGTGAGAGATGGCTGTAGGAAACAACACTCAACGAAGTTATTCCATCATCCCGTGTTTTATATTTGTTGAGGTATGTGTACTTTTTAACTTTTACGGACAAATGGAAATAATAGTAGCAGTTTTATGCTGAGAACTTGGATAATTTTATAAAATTATTTAATCTTATGATTGATAAATTAAATTTTGATAGTATAAATATTGGTAGAGAATTAATAAATGTTGCAAAGTGTTTCTTAACTAGAAAGCCATAGAGTAAGAAGCTTTCTAAACTTCATTTTGGGAGTACAAAAATTGTGTTTGATTATATTTCTCTTATTTTCAGTGGTGTTGTGGATGTATTGACTATGAAAGGAAATGCAGCATTTAAATTAAATTGTTTTTAAAAAAATCAATATCCTGTTTGGAAGTCAATAAACGAGGCATTTTATAGATGAGGTTAGTTCGTGGTCTTTTGCCTTGGAACCCAAATAAAGAAAAGCAATCTTAGAGTTGGTCCTCTTCACTGGGTATTTTTTTTTCGTGGGTATTGGAAACTTGTGCACTGTGTGATTTCTTTTGGTCATGAGTTACTTTGTTGAGTTGCTCCAACTGTGTGCCAACAAATAGTTTCTCCAGCAACTTTTTGGTTAAACTTCCTTCATCCCTTCCCTATTGTACTCCCTCTTTATGTTTGCTATAAAGGGCACAAAGACAAGAAAATTTCAGGAAATTTAGAATCATATGATAAAAAAAAAGCCACTCTCCAGGTTATCTCAAAGTCAGGTGTTGATTTGCCAGAGATGTTATTGTTTCTGCCGTCTCAAGGAAATAGGGCATCTAATGGATTGCTTCTCAGCCTAAAGATCAGATCTAAAATATGACAGTCGGTGTACAGAGCTGAAAAGTAAGTGTGCTGAACTTCTTGTCTGAGGAACAACCTGGAGAGTATCCACATCCCAAGAGTCAGGTGTAGCATGTTGTAGCATCTTTTTGGCTGAGTGTGGAAGGAACATATATGCTGATCCATTTTATTATCCATGCAAAACCAGACATTTGGGTTAAACCACTATGTATGCTAGCATAAGTGTACTTTCATACATGTATTGTTTGTACACAGCCTATAAATAATCTTGGCAGTATCATTGTTCTCCACCTTGAAATAACCCGTGTCTGGCTAATCCTCGAGTGTCACCTTATAAGCATCCCTTGGTTTGATAAACAAATATTGCTTGATGATCTCTGGTGATATTTGTGAACCTATTGGTATTGTAGAATCAGGTAGAGATGAGAGAGAGGGTTGAAACAGAGATGTTAATATAAGTCAAGGTAACTATGGACTCAGTCTCCGCTAACTTTCTGCAAAGGTGCACAAAAAACTCATCTCTCAACAATAAACACATATTCTTAATACTCTGCTTTTAACTTGCTATGCAAGGTCAAAAAATAGCTCCATTCAGACAATAACTATACATTATGTAGATCATAGGTTCTAGTTACAATTGTTCTATTGAAATTGACGAAGAAAGTCAGTTTTCCTGCTGCTCATGTTGAAAGGGTAGAAGACATAGCACTGCCTTTTTCAATGTTTTCTTTCTCTTTTGCTATAAGAAAAATACATTTTTAAAGTAAGCTGAAATTGGAGAACAAGTCATCTGTCACTGTCTTTATCCTCCCAGCAGCAATTTTATTGGACATTTTCTTAAAAATCAAGCAGAAACCAACTCTTAAAGTAAGAGGTTTAATTTATTGCTAGAAGCTGTAGTCTCTGAAGATTTTCAGCTCTCTAATGTGTAAATGATGAGCTTGGCTGATGGAGCAGCAAGAAGAGAGATAAATTAGTCCTTCTGTAGCTTACCCTGACACAGACATAAATTGAAGTCTAAAAATCTAGGAAAGAAAAAATGGTTTATTCTTTTTCTTGTTGTATTGTTGTTCTTGTTTTACATGAAAGTTTGGGATGTATCAGTGACTTCTCTCAGAAACAGGCAGGAAAAAAAATAAAAAAGAGGAAGTGAAGTAAAATACAGCAGAAATTGAGAGGGGAGGAGGTAAATCTAGAATGTCTCATGATTCTCAAGTATTTCATTCATCAAATACTTATTGTTTATATTATCCCAGGCACTATAACAGGAATACTGGAACTCTGGGCCAAAAATAAAATTAAAATGTCAGTTTGATCAAGAAATATCTTTTTAATGTTGGTTTTTAATTATTAAAAATATTCAAGCACAGAAAATAATATAACAGACATCCTCGCTCCCACCATCAAGACCAAATCTTAAGTTTTTGCCATATTTGCTTCAAATTTTCTTTTAAAGAAAATGAAATGTTACAAATGTGGCCAAGATCCTACTGTTCTGGACCCAAAAATAACTATATATGTGAAGTTACAGACTTCTTTTCCCTACATGATTCCCATGTATATTTTGGTATTTTTCCTACATATGTAGATTTTCATAAATATTTTAGAGAAATTTTACATAAATAATAGCACACTGAATCTTTCTTTTGCAACTTGTCTTTTTTCAACACTATGTTTCTAAGACTTATCCAAATTGGCAGTCCATTTATTTTAATTGTTGTAATTAATTAAATATACCTACTGAGTGACATGTTTAATTATTTTGTTTATTTGCTCAATTTATTTTTTACTCTAACAAATTTTTTAGCAGATAATACCTTTATTTCTGTCTCTGTGTGTCTGTATGGAAGAGCTCTCTTGGATTGACACTTAGCAGTGTAACTGCTAGGGGATAATTACATTTTCCGGTTGTTTGTTGCTACATTATAGAAACAACCTTATTTGTATATCAGTTTATTTGAATAATTTGTTTTTAATTTATTATTAGTTTTATGAGTGTGCCGTATCGCCCTTTCATTTTTCAGACAATTGTGTCATTTGCAAGTGGTAGCATATTTATTTCTTCTTTTTCAATTATTATGCCTTTTCCTTGTCTTACTGCTTTGGTTAAAACCTCCTGTGTAACACTGAATAGAGAGCGTGATAGAGAACATCTCTGCCTTGTTGCTGACTTTAAATAAAATACTTCTGATGTCTTACTATTGAATTATGAATGTGTGGACTTTTCTTTCTTTCTTCTTCTTTTTCCTGCCTTCTAAATTAGTTTACCTAATTTGTTTTAATCTCCTATTTTCTTCCTTTATTGGTTACAAATTGTAGATTATAATTCTATTCCCTTAAAATTTAAATACATATACTTAATACAAACTGAGGTTAATCAATAGCTCTACGATTCTTTTAAACCATTAATGCTGTTCTTAGGCCACTTTGACCTCTTATGTGTAATTCTTGATTTTTATATCTTCCTTTTAAAAGTTTCACTATTTTTTTTCAGTCAGGTCTTCTTTAAATTTATCCCTTATTCATCAGTTTCTTTGCTTTCTATTTCTTTTATTACTCTTCCCTGTAATTTCCTCATGAAGTTTATCCTTTCGCAATCCTTTCAACAAGGGTTTAGAATATTGTAAACATTCTTAAAACTTATTTAAAGTTGTGTTTATATTATAACTAATCTGGAAGAGTGATCTAGCTTGGCATTGAATTCTAGATTGAAGGGTTTATTTTCCACCCACAGAACTTTCACAGTGTTATTATTATTTTCCCCATGACCCTTATTGTTACTGTTGAAAACACTTTTATTACTTTAACTATTATTAACAGGTAATCCACTTTTTTTTTTGCCAGTTGCTTTAAATTTTTTTCCCCTTTGGTGCCCTGCACTTTTAGTATAATATGTCTAGAGTGAATTTATACTGACTAGAACTTGTTTTGTATCTTTAATATCAAAAACCATATTTGTCACTAATTCTACAAAGCTCTCAGCCATCACCCCTTCAAATATTCTTTCTGCAGCATCTATTTGATATATCTTGTATCTTCTCATTCTTTGTATATTCCATGCCTCTTAACCCATCTTATTGTTGTTTTCCTTTAAGTTCCAGAAATTCTGTGTATTTAAAAAAAAAAAAAACCTACCTATTTTATAGTGTCATTTCCTGTGCTTGTGGTTTTATTTATTTATTTGTTTGTTTGAGATAGGATCTCACTCTGTCTCCCAAGCTGGAGTGCAGTGGTGCAATCACAACTCACTGCAACCTTGAACTTCTAGGCTCAAGTGATTCTTCTGCCTCAACCTTTCATGTAGCTAGGACTACAGGTGTGTTCCACCATAGGTGGCTATGTTTTTGTATTTTTTTACATAGAGAGAGACAGGGTCTCACTATGTTGTTTTATTTATTTTTGTCTTTAATTATATTAAGTGTATTTATTTAACATTCTTTTAGATTGTTCTGTTATCTGAAGTTATTGGCTCTCTGATCCTCCTGTTTGTTGTGTCTGCTGTCCAGCTCATGGTGGATTGTTTCCTTATTTATTTTTGTATTTTTTTAAGTTCAGTTTTAGCAGCACTTGCTTCTTCTGTAAGATTCATGTGGGATTTAGGTTTTGAGAGTATCACTTTGGAGGGGCTTTTGCACGAATGTTTCCCTTGGGGCTTAGCTTCTATATTCAGAACCCAAACTTTTACAGTCTCAAAAATATATTTGGTCAAAGTTCATCTTCCTTGCAATCTTCCTATGCCAGCAAGTGAATTTATAGAGAACACTCTTGCTCTGGAGTGCAAATAAGAAGCTTTCAGGAATCCTGGCTTTGACATAGCAGTCTCAGCTCTGAATTGAATCTTCATGCTCTATCCCCAAATATAAAAGCCCAAACCCTGTTACTGAGATTGACAAGCACCCTTTTCCCTACCCCCTGTGTAGGTCCACTGTGACATAATTTTATTCAATTACCAGTCTTATTTTCATAACTTTTATGTTTTAGCTTACTAATAAAGGAGGAAGGGAGGGAGGAAGGGAGGGAGGGAGGAAGGAAGGAAGGAAGGAAGGAAGGAAGGAAGGAAGGAAGGAAGGAAGGAAGGAGCAAAAGTTGGCTAATCATTGTAGATGATTGCAGTGGAATGTTATCCTATACCATTTTTGTTTCATGAATACATTCATTCATTCCCCAAATGCTTATTCAGTAACTACATTCCCCCCAAGCCCCAAGGCATTATGTGTTTTGACCTTTTG